AGGCATTATAAAGTGGTATTAATACTTCACAGAATCTTGATTCTATCCCTCTGTTTATGTAGCCTAGAACCCTGTTGGCTTTTTTGGCAGCTGCTGCACACGGCTGGCTCCTATTTAAATGGTTGTCCACTAGGACTCAAAGATCCCTCTCACAGTTACTACTATTGAGTAAGGTACCTTTCTTTAACTAAACAGAAAAAGAGGTAGGCAAAAAAAGCAACAGGGAACTTATGACTTCCTTTCAGCTTCACCATGGTTGATTGTTCTGCAGCAGTCCATAGTGAGTCTACCTGATCACCAGAGAGCTAGGGTGGATCTGATCTACTTGATCTCTAATAGCTGATGGAGGGGGGGCAGTCTACTGATCTCTGGAGATCCGTTCTACATTGAAGTTAAATCGCCCCCGACAAAAAAAGAAAAACTCCAAACCTTCTAAATTGGGATTTAATGTAATAACTGGAAAGACTCACAAGTTGACCAAGACGAGCCCTTTGCTCAGGAGTGTCAATGTCATGGAGGGAACAAAAAACTTAGGCAGTTGAGCAAAGTCTGGAAAATGGAAAAGCTTTCCCAGGTCTCTTCTTCTGCACTGACATTGGACGAGGCTGGAACTAATCTTCTGCATTGTTCCAGACCCATGGATCTCAGGATGAGATATATCCAGAAAGAGCATTCCACAGTCAAAAGCTCAAAACATTGTACAAGGTGACACAGGTCTCTTGGGAGAAGATTGCTTGTAATACGCAATGTTCCTCCTGTTGTCTAAACACTTTCCAGATGAGTAATTTAGGTGCTGTCAGTCAGCCCAAGTCACATAGGAATGTTGGCCCTTCACCTGAAGATCGTATTTCCTCTCATACCTTCTTACAGCTACCAACCTCCCAGTTTGGGACAATCTACCACGTAGAAAGAGTCACCACTTGGGCTAACAGAGTTTGTGAGCTCCATGTTTGACCTGACGTAAAACCTTCGGGGTCTCTCGCCCCCCACCCCCCACCCCATAAGTGTGACGGGGAAGTGCCACCGAGCTGCTAGCTTTAGGATGAAACTAAGGAAAGAATTAGGATCTGGGATAAGGAAGGAAGGAGGTCTGCTAGGGACAGTGGGCCCACATCCAAACATCTGAACCTGCTTCCAAGGGCAGCATGGAGGTTTTCCTGAATGAGGCACAGAGTTTAGCGGAGAAGCAGAGGTCACCAAAAAAGATGGTGCCGATGGCAAAGAATGTGAACAGGTGGGCTAAATGGCCAGCCGTTCCAGCATTGCTCTTCTCTCCAAATTGTGAAACTGGATGGAAGACAGATGGAAAGAAAAGTGTCCAGTAGTGGGGCATAGATGCTGAGAAAAAAACATGAGGGCTACAGAGGGACTGTGATGTCTTCTGGGATAATTGCTCCAGCTGATTTTTCCCCCCTCCACAAAAAAAAAGAAGGAAGGAAGGGGAAACCAATCTGCACCGGCTACTGGAGGGGTGGTGGGGCTGAGGCGGTGCAAGGGAGGCCATGTTGTCCCTGTGGCTCATAGGTGAGAGAGCTCAGTGACAGCCACTCGCCACCTTTGGCCAGCCGGTTGCTTTCGTTGAGGCGCTGGATGCGGTATTGTTCATAATGTACACTGTGGGTGATGTCCTTGAGATCCTGGAGGTGAGACCTACAGAGAAGGAAAAAGGGGCATCAGCAAAATCCTTCCCTTCCTCATCATTCGGTTAGGACTGAAAAAGCTTCTTGGATCAGAAGCAAAGCACTTTCAAGGGAAAACAAACTCAAGAAAGTCTAGTTGATTTTTGGAAAAGCAAGGTCAACCATCACCTAAATCACAAATTATTAAATTAGAATAACATCTTTTTTTTAAAAAGAGGATATAAACTAACAAGATCTACTATAAAGAAAAGGAAAGAAAGAAAAGAAAGAAGTGAAAAGTGGGGTTGTGGGGAAGGATAAGAAACAGAACATAGAATTATAGGGCTAAAAAGGAACCCAAGACGTCTTCTAGTCCAGTGGTTCCCAAACTTGGCAACTTTAAGACTTGTGGATTTCAACTCCCAGCCAGCTCTGCTGGCTGGAGAATTCTGGGAGTTGAAGTCCACAAGTCTTAAAGTTGCCAAGTTTGGGAACCACTGATCTAGTCCAACCCTCTGCCCAAGGCAGGAGAACTTATGCCATCCTGGTCAAATGGTTGTCTAGTCTATTTTCGAAAACCTCCAGTGGCAGAGATTTTCCAAAACAGAAGTGATAGAAAGAAGAGCATCTGATTTTCTTTACAGCAATTATAAGGACAAAACTAAAATGAGCTTCTACTCTACGTTTATAAAGAAAAACTCTTTTTTTCTCTTCCTGTCATTTGTCCCCCCCCCCCCCCCCCCCCCCCCCCCCCCCCTT